GGATTTCAATGAGAACAGAATAGAGGCCTCATTGTTGACAGCGAAAATTGGCCCCTGCTGCTTCTCAAGGGTTTTGTTTCCTTCTAGCTTGTTGGCTGAAAAAGTGGTGAAACACAGACCAGTATAGCCCCACCTGTGTTATCAAAGTAATGGGAGGGTGATACAGCTGAGGATACAGCAAAAAAGTGGGTGAAACCCCACCAAACACAGTGCTAGCTCAGGTTCTGATTGCTTAGAGAATCATTTGCCATTTGTTAAAATTCTTAAAGAAGACATAGAAATCTTCTCCAGGCTCAGCATCTGACGACAGTCTTTGTATACCTGGCAGTCTCTGAAATCCAGTTCAGACACATTCAGTTCCTCTAAATACCAAGCTCAACTATTTCTCTTCACTCTTTCAGTTCATGAAATATTTCACATGGAAAGGGGGGGGGGGGGGGGGGGTAAGAGAGAACACCAAGCACTGAGGCCACAGAACAAAACCAGAGTCTTCCCATTTCACCCCTCCTCAACAAGCAGGCTTGGGTGATGTTAAAGAACCACCATCTCTTCCGCTTTCCATTATCCCTCATAGTATAAATCAGAATTCTAGAGAAGAATATAAAACCAGCCTATCCTAGTATTTTCATTTTCTCTTTGCCTTAGATACATACTCCAATACATCCTTGCCATCCTTGAATTTATTTGCACACATCTCTGTTTCATTGAAGACATACATTATAGAGCATAGGAAACTGAAACCTGGAGTCTCCATTCCATGTCACATTAGTCCATTCTTACATTTCAGAGTCAAAGAGGCTCTCCAGGATGGCTGTGTTGAGATCCAAAAGCACCATCAGGCTTTAATTGCCCTGAGCAGCCTCAGCAGGAGCCTCTGCACAGGTACCTCCACCCAGGGCTCCATGTCAGCTCAACCCTGAGCCCTGACAAGCTTTGCTGGAGTGAAGCCTGTTCCCTGGTGATCTCCACAGGTTGGCTGAGCCTCCAGCTTCTATCCTGGACCAGGTCTGTCACCTACAGTTTGTCTGATAGTCACCAGACTGTCAATGGGACCCAGTTATATCACCAATCCTGTGTGAGATGACCAGCCAGTAACTGTTAGCTCCCAGCTCACTTTCCTTCATAGAGCAGCCTCATTGACTGGTTGTAAGGGAAGAAAAAAACCCCAAGCCCCAGCACATCAGAAACACAGGTGGAAGCACACGTCTTATGTCCTTAGAGCACAAATCCTGCTTTAATCACAAGACAGAGACAAACATCCAGTCAGCACCAAAACAGAATGTTCTGTTTTCGTTACCTTAGGGCTAGAGGAAAGCAGACCAGATATGCAGTAGGGGTTTAACATTGGCTACTCCAAGTGTAAATCCAATGGTGCATACTTGAGTTTTGGATGTACAATTTTTCAGTCAGTCAGTCTCTCCTTTCTGATCATTTCTGCTGAAGGCAAGTTAAGGCTTTGACAGCAGCTTTCTGCAGTTATCTGCTACCCAGATAAAGAACTGAAAGCCTTCAACAGAACCACAGGAGATTCACTGCCTCACAAGGATAATGTTTGGAGTTTACTCTAGGGAAGAGTCACTGCAGTTAACAGTGAAAGGAAAAATCACCTCGATAATTTACTAAAGCCGGACTAAAAATGAAGGTGTTTCAGGGCAGCAGTTTCAAGCCCAGCTCAGGCAGCCCAACTGCCACCTTGTGGCTAACAAATCCTCCTGCTGCAACTTTGCTACTCCATCACCTACTCCATTATTTATTCAATGCACGTATGGAATAAATGTGACTACACCATATCCCAGACAGGAATAAGGAGTTCTGATTGTCTAGAGTCCAAATATACAATACAGAGGAATATTGCTGGAATCATAGGATCATAGAATAGTTAGGGTTGAAAAGGACCTTAAGATCATCCAGTTCCAACCCTCAAGAAGAGGAAAAGAGATTTCATTTCATTAACTCAAGTCTTAGACTGCAGAGGGTGGTAGGAGTGAGAGCATCTGGGTTGGGGCAGGAGTCATCTAAATTCAGGTACTATTCCGTAAACACTGATCTGACAAAGGAAAACCAACTTCAATACCTATATGAAAAAAAAAACCATTCTTTAAAAGCCTGGGGAAAATATTTGACAATTGGGTCAGATACCCAATCCTCTCTGCACTCCTAGAGTTGAGAAATATCACTTTTCTAGCACATTTATGCATCTTTTATGACCCCTTGGATTGACTATTTGTAAAGGTCAAAAGTAGTACTTGAGACTATGTAGAAGCTGCAATGAAACCTGCACAAGAACTTTAGAGCTTCCTCTAAGGTTTATCAAATGTTCAGCTCATTTAGCACCCTCATTAGCTTCTGTTGCTTATGCATGGATCACCCTTTCATCATATTGATTTAATGTTGAAATGTTGGTTTCCTCACCCTACCTCTGTGGCACTTGGTTAATTTTCTACACTCAATTGTGTAGAAAAGGCATGATAAGAAGCTGAGAGAAACTGGAGGGCCTTCACCACAACATCATTCATGAACAGGATAAACCCCAACTTGCAACATAGTGATGGAACTCACTATGGAGAGCAAACAAAAGACAGAAGGACCACAAGGGTGTTTACAATATGCCCCAAGACAGTAATCACTAACACCTCTTTCCCATGAAAATCTACATGCCAGTGAAAGCTGAAGGAAAAAGCAGCTCAGATCATACACCAAATGCCACAAGGACATTTTTAACTTCCACTTGTTAGATGAACTGTTTCTAAGATGAGCTATCAGAGCTGCTTTGTAGATGTGTCTCCGCCGGCTTTTCACAGAAAGGGAGCAGCAAAATGACCAGATTCCTAAATCTTATTACCTTTCTTTTTGCCTGTTCCCTGCAGCTCAACTGAAACCACTGTCCTGAACTGTTACATGGAGCTGTGTGCTCTGTAACAGGTGCCTTCAGCTAAAAGGTTTACAAACTCAATGCTTCAAAATGAATGTGTTTAGCACATATTTTGGTATCTGTCATCTATCACAAAAAAAGGGCTCTCACTGAGCAGAGTTTCGATCAAATTAAGATACAGAAGACAACCATTGCAAATAGAAAAGTATTCTTCAGCAACAAAATACCAATTTTCACATCTGTTTTGCTGGTCTCCAACAACATGAAAGACTGGATTAAGGATATTATACAGGTGACTAAGCTACACACCATGTTTCTATCAAGTGCTGCCCCACCAAATGCTGCTTATGATTTGCTAATGAATCTAGTATTGTCAGAAAACCATTTTAAATTGAAATATTTTAGTAAGCTGCAACAGAAGTTGCACATTTTTAGAAGGTGATAGATATCAAGAAATAGCAGACTGTTTGAAACAACGTTTATGCTTAAAATATGACTACTGCACATCTCCTTTTTGTACTTTCATCGTTGTTTTACAATTGAGCTCTACTGAATTACTTTTCTAGTGGATAAATACTGTACATGCCGCAGTGTGAAGAGACATCATGTAATGTATACTAATGAAGCCATTATATCTGTAGAGGAGATCATATCTGAAATATCAAATTAGCAGGAATTAAACATCTCAAAGGATTAATGAAATGTTATGGAGTCATTCACTTCCAGGTCAACAGGTTCAATTTCAGCTTCGTTTAATAGTTATAATGAATTTATGTGCTGGAGAGAACAGTTCTCTGCATCCGTTAATGAAGCAGGGTAAAAACTCCTGGCTCATCCCAGGACCAGCAGACTTCTACCAGCACAGCCACAATAATGTAGCCAGGAATATTTTGCTAGGCCTATATTTGGCACATAGCCTTAGGCTCTGGGATATCAAACATCACATTGACTGGATGGCTGCAACATGTGTAGACAGCAAAGAGGGACACCAGAGACACACAGTTCTCTTTACAGATCTGCCAGCAATTGCTAACCCCAGCAATGAAGTTATCACCGACAGAACATTCAACCCCAACTTTTATGTGACTTAGTTAAAAGTCAATTCTGCTTACCCAGGTTCCTCTGCCAGTAGCACTTGCTGCTGTCAGCACAGACACCTGCAGCATAAGAAAGATGGGGCAGGGGCACGTGAAAGGAAGAATTGTAGCTGACTTTAATGCAGCATTACCTTACAGCTGATCATAGCATCATATCATAGAATGATCTGGGCTGGAAGGGACCTTAAAGCTCATGCAGTTCCAACTGCTGCCACAGGCAGGGACACCTTCCACTAGAGTAGGTTGCTCCAAGCCCCGGTGTCCAACCTGGCCTGGAACACTGCCAGGGTTTCATGTGACAGTAAATGCACAACAGATTTTTGTGATGGAGCCACAAATTTAAGATTAAAGGGGGTTTTGAGATGAAATAACCACAATGTCAACAGATTCAGGTCCTTAGTGATGATGATCAGTAAAGAAACAATAACCAGCTCAGGCTTAAGAAAAAGTAGTTAAGAAATAACTACATCAAGAACAAATAACTGTATCTTAGTCCTATATACATAAAGAGATATATCTAGCCTCTGCAGACACACAGTGAAAGGTGGCAAACTGTTTAAATGTAACAATCACCCAAAGACTATCACTTCAATTTGCCCTGAGGACTCTGGTTTTAGACACACACACAGGATGGAGCATGCTATAGTAAGCTAAGGAATGATTCAGAATGCCATGTTTCCAGCCCCAGAGTTTTTCACATCTTTCACAAAGCTTTGTTAAAATCACTCTTGTCAAGCTTCAATATCTCCAATAGAACTGTCAGAAAGTTCAGGTATGATAGAAAAACTTAACTATTATTTATGAGGTGCATCAAGGGATCTAGAAATGCAAGTTATTAATATCAGTTCTTACAGTGGGTGACTAAAGCATGCTCTGCAATATGGATTGGAAACCTAAAGAAGTCGCAGTGCACTGCTGACAGGAAAGTCTTATCCTGCTACCTCTGCTACCCACTATACTTTGTGATCATCCTGCTCCCCCTTCAGAAGCTCCCAAGAGCTGGAAAATCAAGGATTTTCAGCAGAGAGAACTGTGTTGTCAGTAAAACAGCTTACAACAGACTGTTTTATTGGAAATAGTTTTTCAGCCAGGGATATTGAGACACAAACCCCACAATGCAAAAACATAGCTGTGGCAGCCTACATAATGTATGAAAAAAAGCATCAAGCTTGCAGGATTGTTCTGCTTTAATGACTACAAAGAGAATTCAAGAACAAAGGGCATTCTAATAGCTGTTTGCTTTGCTTTCCTGGTATTTCAAGTTTAAAAAGACAGTAAAGATGATAAACTCGAAGTTATAAGGAGCAGTTTTTATTATAGGATTGCCCTGAATGCACACCCCCTGCTCAGCAAACTTCTCAACACTCCCAGTACTGTAAATGCATGAAGAGATTTAGTGAGATTTGTATTGGATATTTAGTCTTTCAACAGGAAGCAGTATTGATGTTGGAAATGCAGTTGTGTTGTTACTGATCTATCCTGCCTTTTTCACTTCAGCCACTATCCTCCCCCTTGTATGACATGTGTCTTTCAAGTATTGAATTTAGATCTGTTTTTCCTGTGACATACTAAGTTACACAACTGCAACGAAAAGTTTCTACAGATCATCAGGAGTTTGCAACTAGAGTATTTTCCTACGGGATGTATTTTGAAATGATAATTATTATGATTAGCAAGCTATTAATATATTATGGTTTATATATATTAACATATTAAATATATTATTATACGCACACAGCTTAAAAAATAATTATTATAACCTTTAATTTTAAAAGTGTCATTTTTCCTATGACTTCCCAAATCTTTGGAAAGCAACGTTTTTCTGTTTAAGAAAGAAAACAGATATAGACAGATGTAATGGTTAAGTATTCACTAAGAATTTAAGGGAAAAGTGCCCTCGAGAGGCAGATGAGCATAAGGCATTTTCTGCATTGGATGTAAGATGCAGAAAGAAGAAACCCCTCCTAAAACATCTGAGAAAAATATTAGGGATAATTCAAGAGGTAAAGTAAAACCTGAAATTTTCAGCATCTCATATTGCACTTTAAAACTAGTGGTTTAGCGTAGAGGTCTAACTCTTGTGTTTGGGTGTGTACTGTATGTACCTATGTTCATATATGTATGTGAGGTTTGTAAGGAAAGAGATGTGTTTTATTAGACAAATATAGCTGGAAGAAGTACACAAGCCATTTGCTGGTTATAGCTGGAAGAAGGACACAAGCCGTTTTTTGGTCTAATATAAGCTAATTCTCTCTTGAAACCTTTTCTCTCACATCACCATGATCAGGGTTATGATACTATTTACACACAAATTAAGAACATTTCCCTTGGTGTTAAAAAAACGCACCTCCAGTGTTCCACTGCAATACTTCAGTCACTTAAAACAGTAGAAAGAGGAAATTTGTCTAGTTTCATACTGCAACACTTCAGAAACTCTATGTTGTCCTGAGTCCTAACAGACGCAAGCATCATGTTGCAAGTCGACCAGGAGCCCGGGATAACAAAACAAGCTTTGACACTGGAAGGAGAGGGAGGCAGCAGCATTGGGGTCTCAGTGTTGCTTTATAAGCTATAAGGTCCACAGGGAAATCTAACTGGTGTATTTTTCTGTTTACCTTTAGGTGACAACGTCCAAATGCTTCAACACATCACTGAACGGCTGTTACAAAACCTCCTGTCACTAGAAATAAAAATGGATGGATGAATAATAGTCAGGCTGGAGCTTCTGCATCTTGCCAGAAGTAGTGAGCAGAGATTTAAAACCAGCTTGTAAGCAATATGCAGCCAGTCTAGAGCTATGTAATCAGACCTAAAATCATCAACATTACACATACATCAACTTACCTCTGCATAGGGAGTTGCTGGTGTTTCTCAAAGGACCTTGGTTCATCGACTGAAGTCAGGAAAAGATTTACTTGTTTCACAACCTTTTTTCCCCAACTGTATTCACTGGCATCACTGAATAGGTTGGAGTTTTCCTTTCTAAAAGCTTGTATCCTGATTTAATTGAAGAAATAAGATACAGTCTGCCCCCTATATATATATATTTCAAAATACGATACATTGTAAAATGTCCACTTCATGTAAAATCCTACCATAGATGAAACAGATTTCTGTTTTAATATGGGTAACAAAACCCCCAATAGCAAATACCTCTTAACAGAAAAAAGGAATGGGATTTGCATTTTTATTTCCATTCATTGCCACCTTTTTCTACATCTTCCTGTAAGATCACCACTTCAATACTTTCAAACGCAAAGCAAGGATAACTCAAACATGTGCAAATGAAGAATACCATGCGGTACTGGTTAGCCCATCACAAAAGGCAGAGCTTAACCTATATTGTGCATATTTGCCTCCACAGTATAAAATGTGTGGCTTCAGGGGGCTGGGGACAGGAGGGATGCTCAGCACTGGATGCCAGTTTCCTGAAGAGAAGACACCTTTTAGGATAAGGTACAGCTGCAAAAGCTGTGTAGTCAAGGAATCTTGCTGTATCTGTCTACTACATAATATATTTCCACATCAGCAATCACTTCTATCCAAATGTAGATCAAATGTCAAGGCAGGAAAACTGCACTCTGATGAGGGACCCTGATCATTTTAAAAAGGCAACAGCCATTCTTGCAAAGCATTTAGAGACTGTAGTGATAAGACATGGGGTGATGGGTTCACACTTAAACAGGGGAAGTTCAGGTTAGATATAAGGAATTTCTTTACTGTGAGGGTAGTGAGGCACTGGAACAGGCTGGCCAGAGAAGTGGTGAATGCTCCATCCCTGGGCAGCGTTAAAAGGCCAGATTGGACAGAGCCTTGAGTGACATGGTCTAGGGTGAGGAATTCCTGCCCATGGCAGGAGGTTGGAACTAGATGATCTTAAGGTCCTTTCCAATCCGAACCATTCTAGGATTCTATGATGCCAGTGCTACAAACTATGGTTCTTACACTGTGTTTCTTTCAGAAGAAAGACTTGCTTGAAAATCATTTAACTCCTTTTTTTAAATTGAACTTTGTTCAACCCTTTCAGGTTGCTTTGAAGAAAAATGTTGAATCAATCCATATTCTAAAATGCCTTAGAAAGAAGAAAAATCCCAGCAGTAAATCCACCTAATTAAGCGGGGGTGTATCTCGCCCATAGGCTATTACCACATCTCAGCTTAATATTCTTAAAGATACCAGATGTGGAGCAGGCAGTGAGCTCTCCTCATTATTTCTCAAATGAAGCTGAAGAGATGTAACCCAAATTACAGCAAGATAAACCATACAACTTAAGTGATGAAAACTGTACGTTTTCCTCTGCTTTAGGGACGCTTCTGGCTCATCTGTCCTCTGATCAAGGTGAGCCTGATAAAGCTGAAAATTACACTGTGTGACTGGATTGTATGAGATTATCTTTCCCCTGAGAAGTGATTTATTTTAGTAACTCTTGATGATTAAGAAGCTTTCTGCTCCAACATGCCGCTCTTCTTGTGTGGGCATGGTTCCTTATTGCTTTGAGTGAGAGATCACTTTTAAAAAACATAGAATATGAGTGGCTACATCTTCTTTATGGTTCAAAGACAAAATTGTGTTAGAAGAGAGACCTTCAGGGACCACAAGTTTACAAAAAATTGGAAGTTGTTCTCATTAGCTTGTAGGTTTAACTGCAAAAGTTACTGGGCTATCTTCCACTTTTTGAGGGTGAGGAAAATCCAGTTTGGGTTTTGGGTGATCTCGCTTTGTAGAATTTGGGGCTTCTTGATTCTGAGACGATTCCAGAAGATGTTGCATGTTAAGTTTGAAAATGAGGCGAGGATCTGGTCCAGAAAGAGATGGGCAATTGCAGCTCTCTCTTATTTTAAGAGCCTGTGAATACATAGGAAAACAAATCAAGCTCATTTAAGTAAGAAAAACAAAGGTTTCAGTCAGCACTTTGGCTTTCCGTAAGGTTTGCATTTGCACACAGAACTTAGTGAGTACAATACTGAGCCTGAGTTGTTACCAAACAACTTGTCAACAGAAACCAAGAATTCCTGAAAAGAAATGTAGCAATACAGTAAAACAATGGGAAAAAATGAAGAATGATAATCATTCTCACAGACAATCTCTCAAAGAATGGATACTCCACAGGTACATAATAGATATAAATAGATAGGAAGTTCTCCAGCTACTTTATGCAATACTTGTCTATGTCAGTATCTTTTACCTTTAAATTTACATTCACATGTAAATAAAATAACTGCACCAAGAAAAAAAAAGAGCTCTGAGTAATTTACTTTATACTAGATAGGTTCTATGACTAAAGTGACTACATATAGATGCCCACCTCAGAAAAGGAGGGAAAACCCTCCAATAACATAATGGACACTGAACTGTTTGGCCCAGAGATCCAGCTGGTTGATCAGTACAGTTAAGGACCAGTTACAGAAGTGATCTCATCTCCAAGAAGCATTTGAATACACAGCTTCTAAGTATTGGAGAAAACAATGTCTCTAAAATGTAAAAATTCATCTGGATAAAAAGAGACCAAACTTTATGTGACTCCTGCTCACTAAGTAGGTGCCATTGCTTCCATTCTACACATTAGAAAGTAGAGGCACGAAGGAGCCGAAGAATTTTCCAGAGAATCAAAATCCATTAGTGCGAGCACACTCCCCCCAGGTCATCCTGCCTTGTGGGCAATCTGAGCAAGGAATGACATTGGATGAATCTCATGTCTCAGAGGCACCATGGAGAAATTGATATGAAACTGTATGAAGTCAGCTGCTTTAAAGGATCCTTAAGGTTGTTTCATTTTACCAGTGCTGAAGATACCTTGATTAGTCCATACAAACAGGCAGCTCATTTTAGAGCCAACAATGGATACCACACGACTAAATCTGACACAGTACTTTGCAAGCAGTTGGACACAGACCTACTACATGGATTCTCTTACAAGACCCGTTTAAATTGATCAAGATAAGTAAGATCCCATGTATCATATAGCAAAATATTATATGCAGAATTTGAGGAGGTTCTATGTCTCCACTGAGAACTATTTTTTCAAGACTTGCAAAATGAAACAGCAAGAAAACAAGTCAAAACCTAGCCTGATATTTAACATTCATCAATAGCCACTGTGGTGTAGTCACTTTTATGCATTATTATCTGTATCTTGGCCTCAAGTCACAGCACAAAACTCTGGGCCGATTAACATCCAGCTTTATATTCAACCCTTCTATGGGAAAATAAGTTCAAATGTGTGTTTTATTCCACTTCATAGCCATGGATTCTTTATATACACTAGATTTGGCTGAAATATCATATCGAATACACCAGTACCCCTGTGCACAAGAATTTGCCCACCAGTTTGAAGCGATTTGGTGTTCTCCCACAGGCAACACTGGAAAACTGCAGCAGATTACAAAACAGAAGAGCAGAGCTTCTTAACTCATTTCTTTGCATAAGGGGGTATGAAAACATATTTCTCCCTATCTTTATTACAGCAAGCTGATAAAGAGTTTGCTGTAAATGGCTAGAAACAAACAGCATTTATATTTAACAACTGGCTCTGGAAAAAGATGTGTTTCAGGAATGTAGAACAAGGGTTTCTCCAGCTATTTCTTGTTGAAATGTAACATTCAAATTACTGGATACACAAGTCTGATTTAGGCATGCAAATATTCCTCTTGTCTAACTTTTAAAAGACATGAATAAAGCTTTCAGTATTTGTTTTTCTCCAGCATGACTGTCCATGTAGTCACTAAATGTAACTGTACCACTGAACACTCTTCTGCTTCAGTGACCAATTAATTTCTAAACTGACATTTTTGACAAACCAAGAGTTTTCTCTTGTTCTCTTCTAGAACATAAGCTGCTGCTAGACTGCATTAATGTCAAACAGCATTATTCAAGGCAAATGGAAATATAAAGACTTAGGCTGTATACTGGAAAGGGTAACGTAATCTTCTTTTAAACTAATTTAGCGATTTTATGTCTCTGGTTTTCATGGCTAGATAGTGCCTGGCCTATTTCCATGAGTGAAACCATCTCAAATGCTAAACTCACAACAGCAAAGGTAAAATCCACACTTCAGAGTCAATATTTTTACCTTGTGGATGTCTTTGTGTTCTTGCTAGACATAAAGCTGTGCAAGGGGGGTAAGATGGCATCTATTCAACACCGTCAACTCACATGCCATTAAAGAGACTACAGCTATGAGAATGGGGAGCTTTGTTGACATGTTAAAGACAGCTATGACTACATACTCCAGTGAAAGTGGCCTTTGTGACTGCCATGCAGCATTCAGTCCTAGTTGTGTTCTTCCCCTGGCTCAGCTGACTGACTGCTGCTATATTGTTTTGTGCCAGCAGCTCTGTAACATCCTTAGGAGACCAGTAACAAGCTGAGGAGTTAACAGTATCATTTTTCCTGAAACACAAAGCAGCCCAACATGGTCAAGCACATTGGATCTAATCTAATATTGCTCAAGTCAATTGGGTTTTTGACAATTTGGGTAAGAGGACAAGTAAAACCATTCTAAATGAAGCACATGCATATGGATGTTATATTGATATTATAATCAGAACATGTTCCATTGGCTGTTATTACTGAAGAGTGCTCTTGATAAAGAAGACAGAACTGAGCCAAGGTTAACTAGCTAGACAGAGTACATAGATTCAGCTGGGAACAGAGAGTACTTTAATGCTGGTCATTTCAAGTTAACCTTAAGAGAGAAGTACTGCTGTTCAGAATAAAGACCACCTGCATGCTTACTAGTTCAGGAGGTCTCAAATAAAATATCAAACTATTGCCTCTAAGTAACAAAGGTGAAGCTGTTTTTCTTACCAATACAACTGCAGTCACCTCCTGCAGTGTGCTGGGGAAGGGGAAGGCATAATAATTCGGGAGCTGCACCTCGTGCTATTTCTTTCATATAAAGCCTTCCAGCAGAGACAAATACAGGGCCATGTAATTTTTAGCTGCCAGTATTAATCCTTCATCAGCATCACAGATACCAGGCTAACTGCTGCATCTTGACACCTTATAGTCTTCTGGAGCTCATCCTACATCTCAGGCCATCAGCACTCTCAGTATAAAAGTCACATCATTCTCTTGTCCACAAACCAAGCCAAGGGTTATAGTCTCTTGTGTATTAACTATGATTACCTCAACACGGCTGACTGCAGCTCTGACCTTCCAATTATGACAAAAACTAAGAAACAGCACAAGTATCTAGGGTAAAAAAGGGAAAAATTACCAAATAAGAAATGCTGAGTTGAAAACTGTATTACAATTAACAGGCACAGGGAAGACAACAGGTTCTACAAATGAAGCAGTAGTAAAAAGAGGATTAAAAGAATGGATGGATTTGTTACTTGTTGGAGAAAAACAACATATATATTGCTAAGTCTTCAAATCTTTGCTTCTGTTGGCACAGAAAAATTGTGACCAAATATTTCACAACTTTATAGGGAGGTCAGTATTTTTTTTATTCTAATTTTCCTTTCAGTTTTCACACTGATAGGGATTAATTAGTATATTCTGGTACAAGAACTATTTGAAGCAATCTTCACATCACAAGTGAAGGCCAAATACACCAACCCATTTTTAAAAGGAAGTGAAATAAATGTATCTTCAATATCCCAAAGGCAGCAGACTGAGGAATAAGCAATAACTACCCCCACAGTAATACAACTAATAAACAGCCAATGTGGCTTTGACAGGAACAGGTTTTGCCAAAGCAAATTCATTCACTTTTTGACAAGTTAATTGAGCAAGCAAACAAAGGAGGAGAAGCAGCAGAGCTGGCATGTCCCAACTTAGTATTGCTCTCAAAATCATCTCAGCATGGCATTTCCACAAGAAAGAGTGGGAAACAGGAGTTACAGTGAATGAAGAATGGAATCTGAGCCAACAACATGATGCCAAGAAAGCAAATGTCACATCAAGATAAATTTTTGTGTCACAGGCAAGGCTCAGTACATAACCTTCTGCTTTAGTCAGTATAGCTGAGGCTTCAGCTCATGCACACTGCTCCACTTGCAGAGCTTAGTAGGAAAAAGGCAGACAAACAGTAGCCACAGAACATTAAAAGAAAAGGTTCAGAGACTGAAGATAAATTCTCACTTTCTATGCTGGCATCTTACTGTGGTACTTGCTTAGAAGTCCGTAGAGAAACATCTGTATGGTCTGACAAGCCCAAAACTTTGTCCCTATTTGCCCCAGCTCCAGTAGCTTGTCTAATAATAGATATTGTATTGTCCTGAAAACCATCTCAGTTTCAAATCCATCAGCATATGAAACACAACAGTACTCATCATGGATCTGATACTGATTCATAAGTACAGTTTCTCCAAAGAGAGGTAATACAGAGATAAAAAGGCTATTTTCAAAACCTGGCTTCTCCCCCCCCAGATTCTGAATATGTAATGGCCATTAAATATATATGGTAAAAAGAGTGTTCAAAAAACCCCTTTGTGTGAATAATGAAACAAAAAGGTGGGATATTGAACAACAATAATAACAAAGCCCTGGGATTCCCTTTAAGTGCCTGAGATCCAGCTTCAAGAAGGCAGCTCTCTGATGGAGTCAACACTTCAAACAAGAAGCCTCCAATGACATCTCTACATACTTTATTTAATTTTTATTCTACTTTTGCAGTATCAATCTCACTTATCTAGTGAACTTCTTTTAAAAACAGGAAGCCTTTGGCCCCTGCTTTCTCATCCTACTCCACAAAGAACCATTTAAGGTAAAAGGCAAATGAAAATGTCACATATTAACTTTTGGAAGATAATTTCCTACCCCCCCACTGCTTTTGGAATTGAGAATGGCTATAGAAAGATGAAGACTACTGCACCTGCTAAACTGCAGGAGATAAGAGCAAAGTAACATGACTGCCAGTTCTACACAGTTGCTCAATTATTTAACTTACCTGCTTAGTCCTGGGGTAGAACATAAGAAGTGATCTATTTCATTCCTGTTTTATAAGTCAATCAATAACTGTATGAAACTAAAGGATCCCAAAACCTTTATGTTCAATCTACCTAAACTTAGGACTCCACAACAAGCATAATTTTTCATTCAGCTGCTCCAATGTGTTAAAAAAAATCCATCAAAATAGTCTCACAATCAGCATAGAATTTGTGTATACTCAAAATATTCCGTCAGGCCAGTCTCCAACCTCCTAGCCCTAATGTTAGTTTTGATTTATACCATCATTTAGAGTATTTACTGCATTCCTTTTCATCAAAGAATTCATGAGAATCCTTTTTTCTCCTTTGAAATCAGCAAACACCTCAACATTCCAGGCCTCCCTCTGCCAATAAACCTTCAACTGTCTTCACAGTTTGGAACTGAGAAAGGATTAAAGTGACTGAGAGTTTAAAATAAAAAACACAAAAAGAGGAGAAAGAACTAAAAATTACGAGTTGGTTTCAAGAAAGGGAATTTCCAAACACAGTAGCTTGCTGAAAAACAGTGCTCTTGTGAAATGCTTTAAACACTATGTCTTAAAGAGAAAAAACGAGGCAAAAAGCAACCCATGCTCTTTCTCTGTAGTTAAAACCCCCACTATTTAAAGAAATAGTAACAAACTAGGATTACTAAACTGGGTTCTCTGTCCTTAAGCTACCAATGAGTAGCACATCAAATGAAGAGAACCCCCAAGTAGCTATCCACTTGGCATTCCTCTGAGAGGAAAGAACAAAGACTTCAGATTGAAGGGCAATTGTGTGAATTAGCTCAAGTTCCTTGGAGTGGGGTAACATTTGCTCCTAATTTGACAGAACAGAGACGTGAAGAAAAAAGCAGGCTGCAAAATCCCCAGAGTCCTATCATAACTATTAGGGCTATTAGGGAATCTACTGGGGATCTGATGCTCTTTTGAGGCACATTATTCGAGGCATATTCAATCCCATGTCAGTGAGAGAGACAGGATAGGAAGGAGCATTCTCTATTTGACAGCCCAGGGCTAGCTACTCAAAGCAAGAGGAGCCGAGACAGTTTAGGGATCCAACTTAAAAACTGGCTTTCAAAATGGCAAAAAAGAGAAAAGAATGGATAAGATCAGTGACATGGACACATCTACACAAGGAAGGCCATTCAAAAGCAAAAATACTACACTTTGATCAGAAATCAGGAAAGTAAAGAAATCCTAGAATATGACTGCATTTTATCTGTGCTATGTTAATTTTTCTTCAATTAATAAAACCTTTAACACTGAGAGCTATGTAACAGGAAACTTCTCTAAGGATAAAGAGAAAGATAAGACTGATGCTACGGGAGTGGATTGTGAATTGATATATAAGTAGCTCATGAATCAATACCAAAATAATCCTGGCAACCTTCCTAAGAGAGAAAGACAAACTTCCTTCAACTCTGCTCACCTCTGGGATAAGCCGGTCTAAGTGCTCTGCTCTGTTCTCATGAGAAGGGTGTGTGGAGAGCCACTCTGGTAACTTCGGCTGCCCTTGAATGGTTTCTGCTAATTCCATTTGTTGCCAAAATACGCTGCTTGCTCTTACATCCACACAAGCCTGAAAACAGAAAGGAAACTTATAAACCACTGTATTTTTAAAGTAATACAATAGACATTCTAATGGATATTGAATTACAACAGACTTCCTAAATTTTAAATCTCTAAAGTCTGGTTAGATGGTCCCCCTCATATCTGACAGGAAAACACTGCTCTAAAATATCTGATATATGGTGAAGGATCTGGAGAGTAAGTCTTATGAGGAACGGCTGAGGGAACTGGGGGTGTTTAGCCTGGAGGAGAGAAGGCTAGGGGGGACCTTATTGCTCTCTACAACTGCCTGAAAGGAGGTTGCAGTGAGGTGGGGGTCGGTCTCTTCTCCCAAGTAACAAGTGGCAGGACAAGAAGTAACAACCTCAAGCTGCACCAGGGCAGGTTTAGACTGGATATTAGGAAAAATTTCCTCACTGAGAAGGTGCCCAGGCATTGGAACAGGCTGCCCAGGGCAGTGGTGGAGTCACCGTCCCTGGAAGTGTTCACAAACTGTGTAGATGAGGCCCTCAGTGACACGGGTTAGTGGTGGCCTTGGCAGTGCTGGCATAAAGGTTGGACTTGATGATCTTAAAGGTCTTGTCCAACCTCGTTGATTCTATGATTCTAAATGCAGTGAAAGACTCATCCAGATAAAACACTGGATTTGTTGCTCTTAACATCTATGCAACACCACCAACCTTAAAAACCTTACACCTGAAATACAAAATTCAGGAGAAAAACAGCTTCACAATTTCTGGCCTATACTTGCTCTTTAAAAAAACCAAACTCAGCTGCATATTCTAATTTACATTTGCTAGACACAGTGCAGCAAAATAACAAATTAATCATCTCCACAGATTTAGGCAAACTTACAGGAAGAAATTTAGAGCCAAAAATAGAAAGTGATAATAATTCATACTTATGTATCTCTAAAAATGAGGTGCAAAGACTTCTCTGTAAGTTGATCACACTGCCTTTTTCAAGGCTGATCTGTGTAATCCTCACAGATTAAAATAGTAATTCTGCAGAATTCCTATCTCTCTCCACAGAAGTACATATTTAACCACAGACAGTCATGGAACACTAACTTTAAGAACAGTATTTGTGTATCACCAACAGGCCCCTTTATATTTGCATTTAAATGGAGAGGGGGAAAGAATAAGATTACCTACATTAATTTTCATTTGTTTAAGGGAAAAGAGATGAGTATTCAGAAGGTAAGAAAATTACTTTTCTTTCCCCCCTCCAGAAATCCAGAAGTGCTTTATACTTTGAATGCATTTCTTGAAATTATTATTATAAAAAGATTACCTGCACCAGCAGAGTAATGCTGAGATACCACTTTGCTTGACTCTTCCTAGTATGGCCCCAGATCTTCAGCATTACAAAGCAGTGAGCATCAACACAGCAGTTACTGTTTTTTCTCCCACAGACTGTACTACTCCCTTAGATGCCTTTAAACTACAAATACAGTTTCAACCCTAGAGTCAGGGTTAATTTGAAAAACTCTTCCTTGAAGAAATATTAATAATTATTAAGGAAATTAAGTTTTCTTTGTGAAATATTAACACCAGGTGGTGCTACTCTCACAGTTATCCAACACTTATCTACCTCTAATGAACTCAGTTATGAAAGAGCTGGTTTAGCGTCTGGAACTCAGAATTAAAACACACAGGCACAAAAAAAAAAGTGATTGAGAAAGACTAATTAGAAAAAAAATGCTGAGCAGTTTCTGACCAAATTTGTGCCTGTCTTTAGCAAAGTCACATTATTTTTATGGATGCATTTTGACTAAATATTTAAATCCTAGAACAACGTTGATATACTTCGCAATTATCAGAAATCACAGAAAATATAATCACAATATCAAAAAGTTCTTCAATTTTACTGTATTGTTATGAGAACAGATATTATAAACCAGGTGCACTAAGATATAAGGAAGAAATTCTTCCCTGTGAGGGTACTGAGGCGCTGGCACAGGGTGCCCAGAGAAGCTGTGGCTGCCCCACCCCTGGCAGCAGTGCTCAAGGCCAGGCTGGACACAGGAGCTTGGAGCAACCTGCTCTAGTGGAAGATGTCCCTGCCTGTGGTAGGGGGTTGGAACTGGGTGAACTTTAAGGTCCCTTCTAACCCAAACCAGTCTGGGATTCTATGGTTAGGAGTACTTTATACCTTTCCAAACTATTAAATCCTTCTTAGGAAAGCTCACTGTTTAGCATTCTCCTCTTTATAAATATGTAGGGTTTTTTTTTCCAGTAATAATAAACTGCATAGAAAGTATACTGTGTAGTTAACGATGCACAACTTTATAAACTTCAGTCTTATTACATACAATTTAGCCAGAATGACTTTGTCTTTCCCTATAACTTGTTTTATTTCCCACTACTTCATTAATAGACAGATCTGCAAAAAGTTGGGAATCCTCCCACACAGTTTACCTCTGTATGAAGTATGAAACTCCCCATATTGCAATAGAAACTGAAAAATGGCAGGTAAATTGCTACTAAAATAAACCAGTAGTAGTTACCTTTGCTGCAAACTGAAGTCCCACTTTATCAGCTTCAGCCTCCAATGTTCTGCTGTATGGTCTATCAAACATAAACTGCAAAGAAGCACATCAAAGCTCTTATTTCTTGGGTTTGAATGTGTACAAAGCTAGAACACTGTAGCTATTCTTCTGATCTCATAAGAAATGGTGTTTATCATGTTCACATCGCATCTGATCAGTATTAATTTACTTCATGTAACCTTTAAGTCCATTACATGTAATTCATTGATCCTGTATTCAAATGACACGTATTTTCATGGCCCCTCTCATCAGGCAGCCTCACAGCTCTTTTGCAGCATCTGACGGCGCAATGCCATCTTTAAAACTAGAATTGTTTCACTTCACTCTTTTATTAAGATTTCTGTTGTAGCAATTGTATGTAAAAAAAAAACAGTGGTTCCCTTAAACTTTTATGATGACTGTTTTTAAACCTGGTATGATCTATTTGGTATGGTAAACAGGCTACAGTATGGAATACAGCCATAAACACTTTCATGCAGCAGTCACTCCCCTGTCATGATTATCCACCAACACAAGTTGCAAATTGCTATTGAGAAATGAAACTAGAAGACATAAATCTGACTAACTCTTCTCCCTTTTCCCTATGGTGACATTGTATTAACACACACTAAGAGAGTGATAGCCTTCTCAAATGGTTATGTAGTCATATAATACCAGGATATTCTGGCATATGTAATTCATGTAGATTGGGATAGCCCTGCCCTGGTGTATCAGGTTATAGTAAATACAAAGCAGGAAGTGTTAAAACAGCCCACTCATGCAGAGATAAGGAACATGTCACAACATTCTGGTTTAGGCATTGATTAGGAACTATCAACTCAAGAATGGGCATGTGCAAGGCTAGTGAAGAGAAAAAGGTTTTATCAGCTCTTTATCTGATAGCATTTATGGGGTAGCATCCATTTCCAAAAAGATTTGCAGAAGTTTAAGAACTAGGAAATTGATGTCTGAATGCATGTGTCTTAATAGACCATGTAGATAGAGAGATCTGGGACAGCAAGAAGAGGGTAATAAAAGGATCAGCATTTAAACTCTTACCCCTTAGATTTATTTGCATTTACAGTTAAACAATAGGGTATTACTATTTATCTGTATGTCAATCCCAATACAAATAACATGGGTGTCTTTTTAAAATTAAACACAACACTAATTCAGTCTTTAATTCAGGACCTGCCATGCTGCAGACTACAGAAGCAAGGATATCATCTGAAGAAACTATCGCCCTATAATTGCTGATACTTCCCTTACTTTTCGCCTACATATCTGCTACTGGCTAGTCACAGACAAGATACAAGCATAAAGGCACTGTGATGTGATTCCCTATAGTAATTCTAATGCAAGATACAGCTTATGACCATGCAGGGCTCCTGATCTAAAATCCTGGACATAATAAAGAAGTGGATTTGATTTTTAAAACCAATTACTTGAAGCTGTCTGTACATGTCGAAGAAAAGGAAGTTCCCTTAAGGTAAGTTGACTATCCAAAATCACCAATTTCCACATGAAGTACCTATCTGATAGTGTGTGGTGCACAAGAAAGGGAGTATGAAGTACTGGATCTGTACATACTAGCGTGCAGGATTTGAGTAAAACTCAGTAAAACATGTATTGTGCTATTTCAAGAATAATTACTAGGCTTTAGTTCCTATATAAAATAACCATTGCTGTAAAAACCAACACCTTTCAGTTCAGAACTGCATGACTAAAGAACAACCATGAATGAATTCTGTAAGAGAACTTAATTTTTTAAGGCAAGCAAACCCACTAGGTTTGGAGAAATATCAGAACTGGAGCTCCATGCCAAAAGCCTTACAAAGAGTCACTGGAAACTACTTATAATAATATATATAAATACTTATTATAATAAAAAATAAACCATGAGCCTTTGAGGAAATAACAGAAAAACAAGTACAGAAACAGAAGCGAGCGCTGCAACATGGCTTAAATAACCTTTTCATAGGGTCACATGCTAAAGTTTTATAAAGTAAAATATGGAAGAAGAGGTCAAGAACCATGCTGAGAAAATGTGCAGAAAGATACATTTTCACACAAGCACAATAGGAACTGAGTCCAGGAAACAGACACTGCCCTCCTGGGTGACTAACAGAAAGAAAATATTATATTCAACAACTTTTGTATAGGGGATGCAAGTATTAATCCCTTATTCTGCATTACATACGGGTATGTTTAATGTTACTGAAGATGAGTTTGATCAACGGACAGTCCAGGACACTAGAGTACAAACTCTCATATATGACAGATCTTTCCCATAGCACACTAGGAAAATGAACTGAAACTCAGACTCCATTTGCAATCTGAAGCACAACTCCAGTCCACAATGCCAAAATAGCATTTGCAGTTAGCCTAGAAAAGGAGAAAAGATGCTGACAGGGAGTTAAATCTTGCTGTCTAAATTATGAGCAGTCTCAGGATTGATTCACACTTTTTTTCCAAATTCAGCTCTTCAAAATGTTGGCTAGAATTCATCAATGTATTGGTTTCTTAGCTACTTGTACAAATATCCTAGCTCTTTAGAGATAATTTATGTTCAGAAACCACACATCCACCCATTAGCATAAGAACTACCAAAACAGATTGGTTATGTTTCAGTTCATGCTTATGAGGAACTAGGGGAAATCTCAGGAGAAGCATCAAGAGAAGTCAAAGAAACCAAAGAGCTCTTTCACTTAAATTCAGGTTTGGTTTATGATGTAAGCAGAATTTCTTTTAAACTAAAAGAAAACCCACTTTTTGAAAAAGAAATGGATCAGTAACTGTCTGAAGGCAGAGACAAATTAGACTGAAGAAAACTGGCACCACAAAGCCTCTAAATTTTACTTTATTGGAATATGTGCTATCTGAAAAGATTATTTCAGTAAGTTCTATTATAGCATGTTTTATATTTTAAAGGAATGTTTAGATTCTCAATTTTCTGATCTTGGAAACCATTCTTACCACTAACAATATATTTAAAGAATTCCATATATTTTATTTTGATTAGAAACATTTAACAACTCCTCAAAATAAAACCATAGTATTTCAATATATACAGCTTTAAAGGGGGAACTACATGTCAGAAAGACAATGAGCAAGCAGGTACGCAGAGCCTGTGCAGCTCAATCTAGTCATTTAGGGAGACCTGAGGTTCTTCAGCATGACAAATGAAAATATGCATCAACATTTCATTTTAAACATACTCAAATACTAATTTTTGCTAATATTTCTTCTCTTGCCTTTTCCCCCCAAATATATTATTTAGTAGGACTATCTCCCCAAGATTAAAAATGTTTTTACATGGAACTCAAAAAGGATGTTGTGAAGTGTCAGTCTTACCTCCTGCAACTTGCTCTGAAGCCACTGGCCAACAACTGCCAAACTATCTCGAGGACAGATGGCCCAAATCATAGTGAGAAAGATGAGTGATAGAAAATCCAAGAAGTGAACCAGGCTGGCTTTCTCTGCCTGCAAACAGAAATTGTCCCATTTTCATTCCTGTCTGACATGTCTGTAGAACATAACAGGATTTGGAAACGCTTTAAAAAAGGGTGGGGGAGTTTATGCAGGAACAGGGCAAGCATAAGGTCCCCTGCTCACACGAAAAAAAAAGCTCTAATGGTTGGATACAAGGTACTTCCAGTCAAGAATCCCTGCCACCTGCATAAATACAGCTAGAACAAACACAGTTTGAGAGATTCAAAGCTTGAGATAAGATGATGGCAACATGCAGACAGAGTTCTTTAGTACAAAGGCCATAAAACACCTCAACTGGAATGAAAAATCTATAGGAAGACCTGGAAGACTGTTTTTTTACATTAATTTAAGGCATCATTTAGACAGGAACACTAATGGGATAAGGTGACAAGAGGCATTATATATTTATTGTCTATTTTCTGCTACATTACTTTAATCTCCAAAACTGAGATCCCAAAGAAAGAAATTAAAATTCTTTTGGATTCAGAGTTTTATTTGAAATGCAACAACTTGAGCTGAGCACTCACAAGCTGGATCGGGCAATACTTTTCTCTCTGCCTGTTGGGTAACACAGGTTCCGCACAAACAAAGTTAAGTTTTTTTTTATTATTAGAACTATTTTTTTTCTACTTTTTAGAAGTTTAGCAAGTTACTTGCCTCAGCTGAGCCCAAGAAGCTCTGATGTGAACTGTTGGTCATCCAGAATCATACAGGATGAAGTAACTAAATTCTCCTGTATTTCCACTGCCTTTAAAATTTACTTTTTAATTTTAATTTACCCATTTCCAGATTTTTTTGCAATTTTAGTAAGATCTTTATGTTTACAGATTATGTCTCCTCAAACTGACATATGCATACATAGGAAGAAATTACATGCATACATAGGAAGACATCAATCTGGAGGTAAACAAGCACCTTCTAGCAAATCCCCTCAGTCTAGAACAGTATGATCCATATTTCTATACCATCCTCTTTTTTGCATAGTTGTACCTTGTTGTGGTTTAAGCCCTGCTGGCAAGCCAGTCACACAGTTTCTCTCTCACCACCCACCCCTTCTTGCCCTCCACCTGCTCCCGGAGGGATGGGGAGGAGAATCAAAAGAATGCAGCTCCCACGGGTTGAGATAAGAACAGTTGAGTAACTAAGGTATAACACAAATCACTACTGCTACCACCAATAACAATAAAGGAAATAAAAAGGGAAAAGAATACAACACCTCACCACCCGCTGACCGATAACTCGCTCCACCTTGCCAGACTGAGCACTGACCAATACCTAGTCCAACCCTGCAGAGAACTAGCCCTTCCAGGTAACTCTCAGTTACATCCTGGGCATGACGTGCTGTGGTATGGAATACTTCTTCAGTCAGTTTGGCTCAGGTGTTCTGTCACTGCTTCTTCGCAGCTTCCCCTCCTCCCTGGCAGAGCATAAGGCTCAGAAAGTCCTTGGTCAGGCTAAACATTTGAGCAGTAACTAAAAATATCGGTGTTATCAGCCCTGTTCCCAGGCCGAAAGTCAAAAACACAGCACTGCACCAGCTACCAAGAAGGAGAAAAAAGGAGCTACTGCTGAACCCAGGACATACCTACACAGCCCAACAAAATTATTACATTCATTGTAATTCAAATGGCAAAGAACAACCAAATTCAACATATCCAGGTCAGGATACAGAAAAATTAAGTCTGTGAAAGCCATTCTCTGTAAATGCAGACTCAAGCTCCAGGCATTCTAAGACTGGGTAGTACTATAATAAAAATATCATGCATGTTAGAATAATTTATTAAAGTATATCCACTTCTGTAGATATTAGCAAGTGTGGGAGTAACAAAGCAAGCTGCTGAGTGCCTCTAGATCCTTATGTCTGTGCTACAGGAGAGGCATCTGCAAACCAAGTCCTAAAGGACTGTTAATAGCAAGCCATAATCCATCTGTACAGCTATGAAAGAGACACTGGCAGACTTTGTGCTAACACTAACTGCTACAGCACTTCCAACAGTTATTAAGTACTACATGAGTAACAAGCATATACTGTAGCAGAATACGTTCATGTCAAACTCCATTTTTCACCAGGCTGAAAGAGTCACACTGAAACTATGTTTGGTAGTGATAGGAAAAACCTGAATTAAAGTAATTAGAATGAATATAAGAATTTTAGACAGCTTTCTTTAAATACTTACTGCATGTTCCAGCACAGCGTGAGCTATTTCATGTCCCAGAATGAAGGACAGCTGATGAATATCAGAAACTGCATTTAGCAACCCAGTGAAGACAAATACTTGACCGTTCTGTAAAGCAAAAGAGTAAAAAGTAAGTATAAGACACATAAATAAAAGCTCTTTCAATATGACTAATAATTTTTGTATTGGGTTCAACTTACTGGAAGCACAAAAGCATTAACACCTGGTTCCTCTACCACATGGATAACCCACTCGAGTGCAGAGACCTGTGGGATGTCCTTATTGCTTTCAGATAAATGACCAACAACTCTCTTCACAACCTGGTAGCGTGGATCTGTCTCAGGTAACATTTTACTTTTGAATTCCTCCATCCACTTAAAAACAAAGAAAAAATCTTGACTGCCATGAAGGACAAACACATAATAAATGACTAAATGGTAAACTAATTCAGTGACTACACACAACTTAGTTAAAGCGAAATTTTCACACAGTTTTCTTTCATGCAGCCAAAGCCAACATAAGAGTTGAGGCTTTCAGAACCACAAGTTAAGGATTAATAAACTTCAAAGGAAGTAAACTGATGACCACAGATCAAAAATAAGATTGTATAAACTTGGACCTACTGCCTCTTGTATCTGGCATTTTCCTAATCCACAGTTAAGCTTTGTATCACAATTTGGCAAAACTGTCTATACCTTTCTGAATTTCCAGCTGAATTTATGATTTTTCTGTTATCTGTATATTTCTGTTGTAATTTGTAAATCAGTCAAACTTATACAAAAGATATAATTTGAATATATCCTTGTACTTGTTCAGTTCTTATCTCATGTTCCCTGTCAGACAGGAATACAGTAACATTTATATATGGATTATCACATTTCACTGGCCTTAGAACAGAACGTCACAGAACTCAAAGTTACAGAAACTAATGCAGTGGACAGCTTAAAGGAAAGCAATTATAGAAAAATGAGCTGATCCAATGAAAAACTGAATGTGGGTAGAGAGTTATTACCTTACAAATTGACAGCATAGAAGAGGACCTTAAACAAGTGTCAAAGAACGCTCAACTCAGCATAGAACATGAGACAGATCTCAGCATATACCCATTAGCTGTGCTTTTACTGCTTCTACTAGACTTCTGTACTTGTTAGATTACAGTAACACAGTTAGAAGTGTTTGCTACACACAGGTAATGTGCTCTTTAACTATTACATGCCCCTGAGCAGTTTGCTGATGTCAGTGCTTAAAAAGGACAGAACAAGAGCAGGGAGTAGCTGATATGCATCCTTTGCAGGGTTCTGAGTATGAAGTTCAAAATATATCAAGTACATGACAAGGTTTGTTTGCCCATCTCATTAACTGGACTATTTCAGCACCATAATAAAAGCATTAACAGTTTTGGAGTATTCTGAATGTTTCTTTAAAGTCTTACCATCTTATATTCCATCTGGGACAGTTCCCTAAAATGTTCTTTTCCAAACACCAGCAGTCGGGGGCGCCCAGTGATGGGTGTCTCCTCCAAGTGAGTAAAATAAAACACAATGAATAAAACTCCAAAGCTACTGACACTCAGGAGTATCTTCCATTTATTTTGTCTTGCATGTTCTTTAAAAAGTTCCCGTTTATTAGGAGGAAGTGCCTTCCACCAGTTTCTTATGCTCCTGTAAGATATAAATACTGTTAACTTCGGATTCAGTTTAAGAAGAATTTCTTAGTGTCTGCTCTTGCTGTATTCCCTATTACAGTCCAACCTCACGTCAGAGTTCAGGGAATATTATACTGTAATTGGCTTCAACTCCACTCCGTTTCTTACCTCCCACAGAAGAAGGAATGCCCCTTAGTGTCTCGGTTCATCTCCCTCTACCACACATAAATAAGAATGGAAAGAGCAAAAGATATGTCTAACACCTCTGATAATGGAAATGATTTCTTGTTGAGCAAATTTTCAGCCTAGGCCCCAGCCCTATAAAATCTTGCAGCTATTGAAATGAAAATACTACAAATACACCTACCATTCTTCACAAACTCATGCACACATCTTTGTATAACGGTGTCTTATACTGAGAGGAAGTGACATAGTGTTTTACCTGCCAAGAAGAATAGCAAATAATTTCTGAGCTGGCTTAACAATAATCCAGAAAAGAGGAGCTGGTGCAGCCTGAAATGATGGTGATGTGTGAAGAGACCTGACGATCTGAATGTTCCAAGCTGGGAAATGGTGTGGGAGTTCCCCTATGGAGCTGATCTGGAGGGATGTGACTGTCTTTCCCAGGGGATGAGATGCCTGGAAGCAAAACCTTCCCAGACTGTGCTGTGCATTCTTGTGTACTGCTGTATTTGGGACATTCAAAAGACATCTCAGTCCTTTACTGATGAAGTTTCTGTCAGAGTCAGGGCTTCCAGTCAAAAACCAGTTTCTAGCATTTCCACTCAAATCCAGCCTTTGGCCCCTGTCTCGTGTACAACTGACTTGAGTTCGGCAATACCCTGCATAAGGCTTATAGAAGTTATTGCACTTTGCCTCCTTTGTCAAAGAAGCCAAACGAAAGGAAATACAGTTCCTGCCCAACAACTTTAAACCACGGATGATATTCATAACTTCTTTGGTTGGTTACCCTGAAACAAAGAAAACAAAATAGCAGAGACGTATTAAGGAACTCCCTCAAACAGGGAAGTCTGAAATACTACTTCATTTCACCTGAACAGATACCATGTATTTGTTTGCAAACAGTTGCATTGCACCAAAAAGTCAGTTACAACTGCATCCTGTTGCAGTTTTAAGGTATCAATTTGCTTCTGACTCTGAAAAACCCTATCTTGTATCACTGAGAATACAACAAAGCGTGATTTTTTGCTTTCACTTTTATTATCACCACACCACAACAACTACAGGTGTCCCTGTGGAAGACACGTGCATATTAACTTTTCCCTGCTGGGCTCCTTGCTGTTCATCCATACTGAGGAAAACCAGGATCTACGGAGCGTTTTGTTGATACTTCGCTCCCGAACACAGGGTGCGTTTCCAGGCACCCGGCCTAGAAAACAGAACGGCTCAAAACAGCTAAACCAAGCGTGTCCCAGCCGGCACTCATACCCAACGGGGCATGCCTTCCCACCGGGAGGGCCCCGGTCATCCCCTCCCGAGGGGCCCCGCGGCGCTCGGTTCCAACAGCAGCCTCGGCTCCCTCCCTTCCCCTCAGGAGAGGAACCGCACCGCCGGCTTCCCCCGCCTTTTCCTTGTTCCTCCTTTCTGGCAGCGGCCTTGAGGACTGACCTCGGCTGCCAGCCGTCAGCGCCCAGCATCCCGCACGCAGGCAAGCACCCCCCAAACTCGCTGCTGGCGCGACTATCGTGATATAGGCAGACGTGAGGAGACGGGGGAAAAAGAGAAAGGGGGAGGTGAGAAGACGTGTCACTATGAGGCGGCCGCCCGGGGCGGGGCGAGCAGGAAGAGAGCTCTAGCCGCCGCCACAGCCGGCCGTCCTTGGCCTCTTCTCCGTAATGGACCTCTTCCACCGGGCTCCCCTACTCACCTCCCCGGCAGGCGGAGGAGGAGGAGGAGGAGTCAGACCGCGGAGACGCCGTCGCTGCCGAGCGGGGGTAGCGGGCGGGAGGCGGGACGGGCCCGGCACCGCCTCAGCGGCAGCCGCCGCCCCGCGCCCCTCCCCTCAGGCGGCCGCGCCCGCCCGCCCGCTCGCGCCCCCTTGCGGAGGCTCCGCCCCCCGCCTCGAGCCCCGGCGCGAGGGGTGAGCGGGAAAGCTGAGGAGGGTGGGCCGCCATTTTGTGTCTGCTGAGGCGGCCCCGGGTCGGCTGTGCAGGGGCAAGGGAGGGGTGTCCCTTCGGGAGGCGCAGAGCTGCCGCCGTCCTTGCTCCTCTGCTGCCTCTCCTCTGGCTTTACCAGCGGTGTCTCAGTGTTGAGGCGTGTGTGGCCCTGTCTCACCTCACAGCTGGGGTTGGCCCTGACTCCTGTGTCCCTGGGGCTGGGCAGACCTTGACGTCCCTTCACCCTTCAGAACTCATGGGTTCTATCATAGAATCATAGAATGGTTTGGGTTGGAAAGGACCTTAAGATCATCCAGTTCCAACCCCCTGCCATGGACAGGGACACCTTCCACTAGAGCAGCTTGCTCCAAGCCCCTGTGTCCAACCTGGCCTTGAACACTCCCAGGGATGGGGCAGCCACAGCTTCTCTGGGCACCCTGTGCCAGCGCCTCAGCACCCTCATAGGGAAGAACTTCTGCCTTATATCCAACCTAGATCTTCCCTGTTTCAACCCATTGCCTCATGTCCTTTCACCACAGCCTCTGATGAAGAGCCCCTCTCTGGCATCCTTGTAGACAGCTGCTTGCTGCTGGTTTTGGAGTGCTGCAGTGCTTCCAGCTACCAGAGAGGGTTGGTGACACCCCTGTGGGAGGGAGCAGACAGCTCTACAGTGGTACCTGAGGAGGTGATGTTTGGCTCTTCCCAAACCTGCTGCTAACTTCATCGGTAAGTGTGGCCTGCTCAGCTAGCTGACAGAAGTACATCTTAAATAGTGGGAGGTGAAAAACAGCTTATTTGCTGACTGAAAGTTTGGTAATGACAGGACAGCCTAAGCTTCATCCAAACCCTGAGGCTTTGCATGTAAAAGCGCCTCTCATTGCAAAAGGTAAAGAAACGCAGATCTTTGCCTTCAGCAGCGTGTGTGAACACAGTCAAATATTTAGTGTTTGCTGATATACTTCTAAGTCCACCCCTTTTTGATTAGAGGCCCTATGTATATGTAGTGACCAGATTTTGGGAATACAGGCCAAGAAGAAACTTAATGTACTGACAGGTAGAAAGTCTGTTTTCTCAAGACAAAATTCCTTTAAAACCTGCCCAGCCTCCCTTATCCTCAGAGGCATGAAGAGTAAAATCTGTCAGAGATTAGCACAGCATTAATGTGTGTGACTGTCAGCTCCAGTCACAAAAACAGCTGAGCTGTAGCAGCCGCAAAGCACTTTGTCTAACCTAAGGCTTGTGTACGTCCCAGCTGCCAAGAAATGAAGAAAGGAGATGGGAGCTCTCATGAATGTCTCCTGATGCTTCCTATCCTTATTTCTTAGACTTGGTATTTGCTTGCTTTTCTTGTTCTTTATTATCTAGAATTCTCCATTCCTAAGCCAAGCATGAAGGCTTTCTACCATTTTGTTCCATGGAGCAAATGTCCTTCTTCCCCCTTACAGAGTCTCCACTTTATTTCAAGTCTGCTGAAAATGTTTTTTCTTTGCATATTTCTTTTTGTTATTTGTTTCTCCAATTGCATTATTTAACTGTCTGCCTAGAGGGTATAGGAGCTATTTCTGCATTCCAGACTCGCCTAAATTCCTGTTAACTCAGTGGATGTTTTGAGTGTGCAAGGATGGGGCTAAGAGTTGTGTTCCATATTCTGCACTTCTGAAGTCTCCCCAAGTATCAGCACTTACAATTAAAACTTCAAAGCAAACAAGCAGCAGATACAGCACAGGTAAATACAGGATCTCTCTATCAGATACCAACACTAAATATCTATATGAAAATCAGGTAAACAGTTGAGCAATCAGAGAGTTCTAAAGTGGTGTTTTTCTCGAAATAGACATGCAGTGAAAAAAAAAACATTCTAACTAGTCATTTATACCATGGTTCCTCTTGAATTTTAATGAATCTATGTGCATATAACCATTTATTTCTGAGGAAATAAGGGATAAAATTCTATGCTTTAGAGAGATAGGTTAAGACTTGTTTTGTTGCTGAGATTTTGCTTGTGAGCCTCATCTCTTAAAAGGCTAATTCACATTTCTGAAGAACACCAAAAGGCAGCCTTCATGCCTTGAGACTGCATAGGACCTACTTAGAGGTCCTAAGTGATGTATAGGTTTTCTGATGAACCTCAGCATGGCACTGAATCTCATTGCTGAAAAACTGATCTGTAGAGTGAGTTCAGATCATGAAGTATTTTCACAGCTGTCTTTTTTTTTTTTCTCCCCAAAGATGAAATGCATATGAAATGCCTCTGAACTCCCTGCGTGGTAGGATGGAGCTCACAGAGTCATTTATCATCACCTGTCCCCAAATCCTTGCTTCAAGTTGCTGTGGAGGAAACCACTTAACATCAAACCCCCCTGACTGACTAGGTATGAGCTTATCAAAGCTTTTGCTCTCCGCATACACTGTACAAACACACTATGTCCTTAGTGCAATTAACCATTTAACACCTGCTGTTAATTCTGCTTAACAGGCAGAATTCTCCTGTATAGATGCGTCCATGAGTATTTGTGTATCTCTCTATGTAAGTAGTTGCACTGAACTGAACGAGATTTTGTATATGTATCAAATTATTCACATAAGCAAATGTCATATCCAGTAGAAGTAATGAAGATCAGTGTAAGTGTAAATATTAAAAATATCTGTATATTCAGGTGGAAACAGTTTGGTAATAAAACCTCTCTGCTATGTGTTTTGATCATCACAGTTCAAAAGTCAGTTAAAATGTACAGTCTTTAGCTTCAAATGAAAAAAATTATTATAAAATATTTGCTTTTCTATAATTCTAAGCTAAAATTAAATATTAATTAACGGTTTTGTCATTCAGGTTTCAGTGTAATTCACTTCTGCTTGTTAGTGTCGGGCTAAAATCTTGGCAGGAACAATGCTTGCTATGTAATGCCACTCAGCCTGTTTGGCCAGTTGAAATCTCAGGAGTTCACATTCACTTAAAAGACCATTCAGTGCTTTTCATAAATATCAAGATTTTTCCAAATGTTTTTCACTAGAATATCCTGCCTTGATCCACTGAGTGTATTGTATTGGGTTCTAGCTGACCCTTGCCTTCCCTTGCCCCACTGACATATCAGTCAGTAGATGCTACTTAAGAATTCGATAGGTAATAACTATTTCTGCTTTTTATCTGTTGTTGATGTAAAAGTAGATTTAAAATCCAGAAGATGAAATTACTTAACCAAACAGAAGTTCACTGCAAAACTGTTCCTCTAAAAGTTGTTCTAAAATTCAATACAGTCTTTTCTTTCCAAAACATGTGTGAGCTTGTAAGTAAGGAGAAGTCTTTTCTTCTCTTGCTATGTTACAATATTTTAATGAAAGACTCTCAGTAAAAGCCACAAAAGTCTATTGGAGCTCTTCCCACTAAGGAATTGATATCCTAGATATTTAACTTGTTGGTACCATTTATTGAGCCCTGGCATTCCCAAGAATCACTTGCCAGTGATTCTTGATGCCAGTCTTAACATGCTGAGTACCTTGCTGGCCCAGGATGCCAATCAACCAGAGTTGAGTGTGTCACCTGTTTTCTTCTTTGGAGCAAGAGAAATATAGACAAGATTAAGGAAACACATATACAAACATTCAGACTACATTTTAGGAACTTCTGATTTTGAGGGCTTTAAGAATTAACGAAAATGAGCTCTACCATTACATATCGCTTTCATCTTGCCAGATCTGTCAGACATTGTGCTTTAGAGGGCAACTTGGATGCTTAGTAGTTGCAAAAGTGACAGAAATTCTGAGAATCTATCACTATAACTTTTGTTCTTCTAATCCTTGCACATAATCTGTAAACTGTGTTTGCAAGTGTTCAAGGCCAGGTTGGATGGGGCTTGAAGCAACCTGATCTAGTGGAAGGTGTCCCTGCCTATGGCAGGCGGTTGGAACTGGGTAAGCTTTAAAGGTCCCTTCCAACCATTCTGTGATTCTATAAACTGTTTTTAAAGCAGCTGACTGCATAAAAACATCAGTGAAGATAGTAAGTAGCACAGAATTCTTCTACTAGATATCTAAAATGCAAGATTTATTTGTAGAGACTGAAAAAAGGAAGCATTCATTAACTTTCTATATACCCAAGACATTTTACTTAAGTCCTTCAGCAGGATTGAAACAAAGTCATTTCCAACAACAGAAAAGAGCACATGAAGATAAGAAGAAAAAAGGAAAACTTAGCAGACCTATGCAAAAAAATGAGTGTGTCTGCACACAAATGTGTGTGTAACATAGCCGCATCCAGTTACTTTCTTCTTGTTCCACTTAGCTTTCCTGGGTGCAGCCAGACTAGCAGAAATGCTGAGATTTCTCATTTCAAGCCTTACAAGGATGCTTACTTATTTAAAATGAAGAATAGCTGGAAAAGTTGAAAAAGGTTGAATTTATGTGCCACCATATGTCCTGTGGAGCCCACCTGTGCAAATCCCAGTGGAAAATCAGAAATGCATTCTCATTCAGTCTTTCATTTAGAGAATACCACATCTCCCTAATTGTTTCTGTGGCACTTGATTTCTGCTGGAGTAGGACTGTAAGAGTGTTATCCCTCAGGGAGCAGGGATCCTCATGGAAATGAGATGTGAATCTTGTCAGGCTGCCTGGTATGTGTGAAATTTTAACTAGCTAAATCCTGGTGTAAGGAAATTTGTTAGAAGTGCTGAATAAGAATTGTCAAAGTTCTGGAAGTTGATTTTTCCTGCTCTGATAGCAACTGTAATGATTTAAGATTAATTTTAGCATTAAAAAAAAAAAAAAAGAGAGGTAATTGCAGTACTTAAAAGCCTGAGGCAAAGCTTTGGAAAAGATAATTATACCTGTCTGTTTAATAGCATTAACTGCTCCAATTAAGGAGAATTGGAGGAAGGGACAATTTGTTTCCTCTTTAACTATTCTGTGAGGAAGTGGATTCGATAGTCAAGCAACAGAAATTGGTTTGATTTTTTCTAAGGTGATTCCGAAAGGTTTAAACATTTTAAAGACTACTGGGGGGGGGATCTTATCTCTTGTCATTAAGTGCTTAAGTTTATAGATATGCTGGTGTTTTACTGTCTAAACAGGAGAGGGGTTGGGTGTATTTTTGTAGTAAGCATTTTGTTTCACATCATTACCCTAATCTGGCCGTAATCCCAGTCTAAACACCCATAAACAGATTATTCTTAATCGGGGGAAGATGGGACAAGAAGAGGATTCCCTGTTGTTCCAAAAAGGCAGCAGGTTTGGGCTAGTTACTACTGATAAGAGCTAGAGCAGGCTGCAGGCTTGCTAAGTGGGGAGTAGGATTTGCTGTCCAAAAAAGCTTTCCCTAGGGCTTGCCTACTCTAACAAACAGTGATGCATGTGTCTTTAAGTATAGGTGCACACACACACACACACACACCAGTCATTACCAGGGATTTTGTGTCAATGCATTCCAGAATGCATACTTGCATATATAAGCAGGCATGGATTTTACCAGGGGGAACAAAGGGAACAGAGTTTAAGAGGGTTTTCATCCTTCTATGAATTGTTATCTTTCATTTCCTTGCTGTAGTGCTGGCATTGCTCCTGGCACTGTCCTCAGATCTTGAGTGGTTACTTAAGCTTTAACTAAAAGTTAAAAGCAAAGGCCAAAACTCACTTTGTGTGGTTGCACAAAGGCAGTAGCCCTGAATGAAAGGGAAGCACTATCCTCTTCAGAGTTGTATCAGAGACAATGGATATTTTGAGCTTTTCAAGGCAGCCCTTCACCAGCTGGAATTGCAGAGCATAATTTAGGCAACAGACAGCTTGATCTTTGTTAAAGCAAGCATAACCCTCTGTTACACAATCCAGGTAGGCAATGGCACAGAGCACTCTTTCCTATCAGCTATGCATTTATTTCTCTATCTACATAGATGAATAAATATGGATGTATTTACACCTACAGAGTATTCAAATAGCATTCCAAAGCAAAACAACCCCCTGAATACATTTATGCCTGAGCCACAGAAGCTGATACCAGATTGATGTTAATCACATTGTTCCAGGCACCGATTGAAAGCTGGCAGCCAGTGCCACTGAGAACATAAACCCACCATTACTATCACCATGCTGCCTGTACCCACAGAACCCAGTGCAAAGAATATAGAACTTAAATACAACAAACACACTATTAAACCAGGAAAGGCTAACTAGGGATTCCAGTTAGAAATTTCTACTTTAGAATGAATAATAAAAAGCATTTATTTTTTGTTAAATATAAAGCTATTTAATTTTCTCCTTTTCAGTGGAGAAACATCAGCAGTAGACAGGAAGTCAAACAAGCTCAACATCATGAAGTGTTCCAGTGAAATACCTGACTTACCATGTGCAACAAAGACATTAATATATAGCCTGAGAGGCCATATGACTGGAGCAGCAGGAGAGAAATGAGCACTTAGCAGGAGCAATGGGTATGTTTAGTTTATTCAAGTCCAAAGCCTACAGTAGCTTTATTCAAGGAAATGATCTAGTCCAAAGAGAGGTTCTTTGAGCTCTGCACTACAATTAATCTTCCCATTCTGGTGATTAATTGCAGACACACACCTTATCACTCCTATTAAATAACCCTCGTGCATTCCCCATCCCCTAGCAGCATGCGCTCTACTGGTGCTTGGTGATTAGCAAGGAAATAACTGACCACGACATGTGGTTTCCATTTATTAATCCTTTAATGATTAATAAAAATATGAATGGCACCACAACAGCCTCTTTTCTCAATCTCGGCCTCTGAAAAGAAAAGCCAGGAGCCAAAGAAAGCTGCTGAAGCTGTTACCTGCTCAGATTTTTTCAGCTAGACACTTTTGCTTCTCCCAGTCAGAATTAAATGTGTTCCATTTTAATATGAAATCTCATCATTCACCTTCACTTTTTTTTTCTTATGACAGAAGTGAGAAGAGTGCAGTGATTTTAGGAGTCGAAAGCCACAGTAGATCCCCAGAGAAGACTGCACATCTCGTAATCTCTGATGAAGAGACAGCACCAACCTCTCATAAGTTACATACTTGTAAAATTTATACTCTCATCCTACATTTCTTCATCACTAAGGGCTACTCGGCTCCGGAGTTTTAATCAGTTTGTAAAAGCCTGATTGGAGATTTGTATGGAGTTAGCCTAAGTTCTGATTTTTCCTATGACTTGGGAAAATCCAGCCTAGATACTAAATTCTTACTTTGTCTTCTGTCACTACTAATGTATATACTTGACTGAAAACCAACCAGTTTGAATGGGGTGCCATAAGGCACACAATAAATGGCAGATCCTGCTCCAAAACTTTGGGAACACTGATGCAGTTGCATAAAAAACTTATTTTAGGTTTGCATCTGCTGCGTTTTATGTATTCAAAGGTCAGATTTCTCCAGCAGGTAAGCTAACAAGGATTAGCTTAAAGGAAAATGATGTATATTGAGCCAAAAAAATTAAACACCCCCAAACAAGTCTCTTCCTCTTCTATCTGAATGAAGGCAGAAAAAGAATCAAAGCACCTTCACTTTTTCTGCTATCCTGTTCCTTCAGTAGAATCAGAGATGCATATTTAACAGTTTGCCCTGGAAGTAGCACATTACTCACTGTTAGTAGAATTACAAGCTAGTAATGTAGAAACTAATGAGCAGAACAAAGGAGCTGCTCCTGCTGCAGTGCCTTGGTGTAGCAGTCTCATCTCAACATTACCAGATTAGAGTGATGGGACTTCTGACATCCATATGCAGTATGGAGAATGTAACTGCCGCTATTTCAACATTTCACAACTACTTTCTTTCAAGTGTCCTTCACGGTGGACTTGACCTTCCAAACATGGAATGCAGCAGATGAGGAGGTAGCAAAGAAGTCCAGTTCTAGTGTCTTGGCCAAGTTCCAACTTCAGTAATTACACTCTGCTCTTTAAATTCCCCCTGCAGCTCTAGTAGAATAAAGCTCTTTTTCAGCTTGCCCTGAAGCATTGTGGAGTATTTCTGTCAAGCTGTACAACACTGAAAACTTATCTCCTCCCATTAAAACTGCAAGGGGAATTTAGGGAGACAGAAAGCTATTACCAGAGCTGGAGTTTGGGCAGAACACCAAGGTTAACTTACACTTGCACTGGGATCAAGGGATCTTTGCTGACTAGGAGTGTCAGACCCCTATTAAAGAGCACAAGTGGGAATAGCTCACTGTGCTGCCTGAATGCAAACTTGGAAACTTGGGATCTCTGCACCTGGAAGGGACTGCAGGAATGTTTCCTAACAAATGACTCTGTTTAAAAGCCTCTGGTCTCTCATCACCACCCGATGTGGTTATTTAGTAATATTTATGACATTCTTTGTTGATTAAAAAAAAAAAAGCTCCAGCAACAGCAACTTTAAAAGAAACACAACCTATACTTTAAAAACAGCCTTTACTACAGAAAAGCAACTGTACAACCCAATTATGCCACAGCAAGTGTTTGAGTATCAGTAAGCAGATACACCAAGAACCACTCTGAGAGTGTTGAGAAAAGCTGAATCAAGCCTGCAGTAGCAGGGTAAGCATTCTGTTACATAGACAGCTGCAACAGTTTTCTGAGGCTCTCAACTGGGACTCAGTTAAAATATTTAGGTAACTGCCTCCCAAGTTAGTTTATACCCAACACTAAACAAGCCATTCTTGCTAAAGTAGAATAATTTAGGGCAATCACTATACAAATACCTGTAGAAAGGAAAAGATCTCTTCAAATCCATCCACTGGCAGAGTCTATTTGCTGTTTATATTTTGTGCCTTTTTTCTTTTCTTCCTGTTGTTGCCTTTCCTTTTCAGAGCTGTAAGCTCAGTGCTCCCATTTCAGCCATTTGTTTAATCACCTTTCTCATATTTTCTTGTCTTCAGCCACCTCAGAAGAGCCAGCACAGTGATGCCCATGCCAGCAGCCAGCACCACCCCTGTCACCGCACCACCAAAGCCAGCACCCAGCTGCTGCATGCAAAACTCGGGCCTTTTCATCAACGTAGTAAATCTGTAGTTTTTCAACATCCAGAGCATCTCCATTGACACAGACAGTTCATGTACTGTTAGAATGAAATATGGAGTCATCTTTTATATCTTTTTCAAAGTCATAGACTACATGAGCTATATTCACATCACACCTGGATTTCTCATGCTGGTTCAGGCGGATTTGGATAACTGGGGGCATGTTATTACCGGCTGTGATGTATTTGGGGTGCAGTTTGTATCGGCTCTCAAACAGATGTTTCAAGGCATTCACTACATCAGGACCATCAAAGGAACTGGACCTGTTTCGTGCTTCAGCTCAATGTAGATCCAGTTTGTTCTAATCAGTTCACCACTACTGAGGTTTTCGTCACCCTTTTTAGTTCTTCTCACTCAAGCATTGTTCACGCACCTGCAAGCGTTGGTATGACTGAACTGCCTGCTTTGAAGATTCCAGTGTCCTTCCAGACTGTATTGTAAATGCCATCATTACTTAACAGCCCATGGAGATGGGCCCTGATGCTCTTCTCTTTGCAGAGGATCATTTCTGCCTTCATTATCAAGCATCTTGAAGTCAGTGTTGAACAGTCTAACTTGTGATTTGAACCTACCGGTGTGCAGGTGCAGTTGTCAGGTCCATGCTGGGCACACACCATCCACTTGTTGGTCTCACAGGTACAGCTGTTCTGAGCTGATGGAAGTACACCAGAAACAAACCCAACAAAACCCCAAACAGGCTCCATAGCACAGGGTTGCTATGGATGCACAGCTTGGATGCTGTCTGAATGACAGCAGTCAATACCTGAAGCTTTAATTCATTTGCTGAGTCTGCTCATCTCTACACACTGGTGTGCTGCTCCCTTTACCAAGATTCAAATCAGACCCACCAAACAGGTTCTTGTTCTGGTACCCAGAGAAGTCAACAAGGTTCAGGGAGCAGCAGCAATGCAACACCTGCCTCCAGATGTTTGTCATCCTTCCTTCTTAGTGAGGAAACAACAGGGGAGAGAGAAAAGCCAACTGGAAACATAGCTCCCACCTTGCTTTGCCTTCCCACATGGATTAAAGCACAAGCAGCTTGCCCTTTTCCTTCTTCAGACTTCTTACAGACTATGTAAATGCATGTTTGAGGAATTTTTCCTGTCTGTGGAAGAAATCCTACTCTACCCCCCATCATCGTTTTTCCTGCCTCTTCCATCACACAGTTTCTGTATAATTCCACTGCCTGGCTTACTGCCAGTTATGGACTTCCTCCTTTCTAATTCCATATATTTATGAAATAAAGTCTTTTGGAGCTTTATGTATGCTGCCAGGAGAAGCTGACAATTCAAGAGGAACAACTGTTCGCCAGGCTGATGGCTGCTCTCTGACTTACAGAGCACAATTCTTATCTTCCAGCACGGAAAACTTCTCTCCCTGTGTTTCTTTGGCAATACTCATCCCAGGGCACCACTAGGAATGATGACTTTCATGCTTGCATTACCCTTACAACATTGTTAGTCATTTCTAAAGAAATGTTTCAATCTGAACTTTGAGTAATGCCTTTCAAGTATACTCCAATAGCTCCCAAGCATCCTAATGATCTACAAAGTGTGAGTTACCATTTCCATATGTTTTGGCAGCAGCTGAAAGGTGTTTTCCAGTTTGCATTAAGCACCTCCCATCCATCTGATTTGTCAAACACTGTCAGCCACTTTATAAATCCTGATTTTGGGACCAGTGACGACCACAGAACAGTGGATATGCCATTCTCCCATACCTGCAACTCACCCACTGCCCTGCAGTCAACCCCTTCTATGTGTGCTGCTGGTTCCTGAAGGCCTGAACTGCTTCAGATCAGTGCAAGATGGGCTACCTGTAGTAGCAGCACTGACTGCTTCCATCTGAGTGAAGAGGGGGAAGTTACCCTGGCTATCAGTGTGTATTTATAACCCAGTAGAGGTTTAATATATGAGCTCCAGATGTAAATACCCAATAGAAAAAGGCACAATCCTAAAATGGTTTGGGTTGGAAGGGACCTTAAAGCTCATCCAGTTCCAGCCACCTGCCACGGGCTGGGACACCTTCTATTACTATTAAATGGCTGGCATTTCACATTGTCATCTTGATGTTTTGCTAAGAGTTTAGTAACTCTTCCCATTTCCCTCATTCATTTGCCTATCAGAATCTGCCCTTTTTTCAGTTTCACATCCCTCCTTCATAGTCAAAATCCATTTAACTGTCACCCACATACTCGCACCTTGTCTTTCATTTCATGTTACAAACTTCGGAGGGAGGGTTTGGAAACTGGCTTCCATGGAGCACTGTTAGCTTCCATATAGTCAAGAGCTGCACCACCCCTGTGCTTAGAAAGAACCATGAGGCTGAGCACAACCAGGGTGTTTTAGTGAATAGCACTTTGCTTGTGTGATGTTTCCAGGTGTTCACACTTGGTCTCAGCCTCATATTGTCATCTGACTGCTTTTCCCTTCTTACAGACACTTCCAACGAAGTAGAGAAAAAGGGGCTGTCAAAAGCTGCATATGGAAGGAAGGAAACCCATCAGTTATGCAACAAGGCAGTCTGGTCTCACTGGTGGAAGATTCTCATTGCCATTACCTTAGTTATAAACCACATTCATTGGCTCTTCCCTCAAAGGTGAGCAGCAGCACAATGACAGTTTTACAACACACCCACCACCAAGCAAAAATTGTAGAACAGTGATAAGAACAGGGCAAAGAGGAACAGTTCTGAGTTTCCCTGATGGTGCTGCATTAATTGCCAAAGTGCACTTCATTGTACTGGTGGATTTTCCCCTCTGTAAATAGGAACATGCATATTATGAAGATAAAAGTCTTTCCAAATACCTATATACATCTATTACACTATATATATATAGTGCCTCTATGACACTAAAAAATAAGTATTATTCCTTTTAATTCATGCTAAGCTGTAATGGTACTACAAGAGTTAATTATTTCAAACAGCAGGCTGTAAAAGGAATAATCCTGCAGAAGCTGTGGTGTGCCTTATTTCTTTAGTGATCTCTGCTTCCATGGAAACAATTTCTCAGCACAATTCTAAATCTCATCAAAATAGGGCACTAAGTCTATGTAAACCAGCAAGACATTGCCAATTAAACAACCTGAATGCTTTCATCTAGGACATTAAATGCTTTGGCCAGTATCAGACACTATTACCATGTTGGCTGGGATGTTAACAACCAGCTACTTCGATGTGCCGGCTCTGTGGGCCAGATAAAGTCTCTCTGCACACATCCTGACTCACCTTCTCAGCAGGCCTCGCAGTGCATTCCTTTCCATTTGCAGGACCCTGGAGACCACTGCTCTGGTGTTTGGGGTGAGCTGCTCACCTCCATGCTGCTTGCTTCCACTTCTGTGGCATCTCCTTCCCTTACACAATACGTTCCATAATGCCCAGCAGAATAAACTCTGCTAGCGCAGCAGGAAGGAGTTAATCTTGCTCCTACTGCTGGCAGAGATAAAGCTAAACCATACTTAGATTAAATGGTTGATGATGCCCCATGCCTGGCAGTGTTCAAGGCCAGTTTGAACGGGGCTTGGAGCAACCTGCTCGAGTAAAAGGTGCTCCTGCCTGTGGCAGGGCGTTGGGACTGGATGAGCTTTAATGTTCCTTCCAACCCAGACCATTCCAGGATTCCGTGAAGATAATCTGATTATCATCTTCAGAATTCACTGTAGTTGCCCATGAAAACAAACCCATTACCTAAGTTTCATGATCCTACAGCCAGGATTCTGAGTGTAGAAAATACTGATCCTGGCATCCCAGCCACAAAGTACCACTGGGGAAGTTTCTGCAGGAGACTAAACAGGGGGTTTGTAACAGAAGAAAGAAACAAGCCTGTATCAAGGTACAGTGCTACTGCCCATAAAATGTGATCACTAGCCAGAAGTTTACATGAACTAGTAAAAGCAGGGTGGCTCTTCCTTGAAAACCCTTTCTGTATCAGTTGTAGCAACGCTCCCTCTAGTGGTATGAAAGTTGTGGAACCACTTGATCATAGTTAACTGGCTTGGAATAAGGAAATACCAGATCTGACACTCGAGAGACAAGAAGACATTACACAGGTGGAATACAACCATGTATAGCCTTGCTCAGTAGAGTCTTGTACACCATCCCTCAGGAACAGCAAAGTAACTTAAAGGGAAAAAGTATATAACAGCAATGGCCAACACTGTTAACTTTGGTGTTTAGTTTTGTTTGTTTGGGGGTTGCTTGGTTAATTTTTCTTCAAATGAACTTAAAAATATTCTTTGAAAGTTAAATTCTGGTCATTCCCCTCCTCTGGAATACAAGTCCCTGTGTGAGGCACTGCTGGTAAGTAGGACACAAACCTTCACACAGGCCATGAGGGATTTGTGCAGGAATTGATATCTGAAGGATCTGGATTTTTTTTGGTGATTCTTTCTTAATTTTTCACATTGTTGTCTCTTCCAGTTTAAACTGTATCACTCTACTTGCTACTCAACCATCAACCATCTCCTGAGCAACAATGTGGCAAGGCCAAGAGTGGTCCAACGTAAAGAACAAGCACCTTAGTCCTCAGGAGGTATGCTAACCCAAGCTGGCATGGAAGGAAGAGCTGGGTGAGGAACAAAGAAATGGAAGTGAGCTTTGCAATAAAAAACAAAATAAGTTTCAAATGTTAATAGCAAAAATCAATTTAATGCCTTATCTGTGTGTTTGGTACCAGCAGTGGTGATATTACTAACATAGAAGAATGCAACTTTCAGACTCATGTTATTAATCACAATCAATATGAATTGTGAAAAGGAGGTTGGTTATTTTCTTCCTACTCAGCATCACAAGTGTGGTAGTTGTAGTTCACATGCAACAGCGTGTGGCAGTGATGGAGTATGAAGGTACTACAGGTACATTTCCTCCCACACCACCCTTCTAACCAACCCTTAAGATGATCCAGAGTCCGTATGTGTGCATCAACAGCTCAACACTGCACCACATCCTCTTCTGAAGAGACAAACCACTTCAAACATAGGTTTTACTCCAAACTTTTGTTGTGTAACATCACTGTTAAACCAAATTAGCACAACCATATTACTTGAACTCGTTTTAATCATTTAACAGAGAAGCAGCCAGCACATTGTTATCACTCCTTGAGAAGTATCAACATACATCCAGCACTGGCTTAAACCAGACCGTAAGTGGAGAATGAACATGATTACTTCTTATTGCTGTTACACAGGAGGTTCAAAATTCCCTTCCTATAAACCAGACCTAATTACAGCTTGTAGTACATTTACAGTGGGTATTTTTTCTAGAGAATAAACCTATGCAAAGCTGCAAGAGAATACCTTACACTGCAGACCACTCCACAATGAAGAAGGGGAGAAATGCTTGCTCACCAAGAGTGCAGCTTCAACTGGAAACACAGAAAGCCATGCAATGGGTTTCATTTGGAAGTCCTAAAGATGGCATGTCAGGATAGATGCAGTCTGAGTCAACATGCCTTAGGTAGATGGATACACCAAGCTTGTAAGTGCGGTACAGCGGTGGGATCTTGAGCTGCTCAGCAGCAGATCTGAGCATAGGTGAGAGCACAGAACATTCACAAGTGCTTTTAAGTCCACAGCTCTTGGGAGAACCACCCAGTACCAAGGGCCTCAAGTCTTCGGATGAGCAGGCTCTGCACCTTCCACTTAGTAAGAGAGAGACACTTACCCACTTCATGAGGTGTGACCTGAACTGCCTGTACAGGACCTCCCGCCTTGGGATGCAACTCTACAATTGTAAAGCTTTTCAGAAGTCTTTATACAACTGAAAAACTGAAGTTAAAAACAAACATACAAAATCTTAAAATCCCATTTCTGTTATGTAGAACTAGACATATACACATATATATTTTTAAGATAGGAACCGAGTCCATCGCCACCCCTCTAGATACAAACTCAAGGTCTTGCTTTTCAAATATATTTTAGACCTCTCTGATAAATTTTGCCCAAGATAAATCTGCATAAAGAGCACTAACTGTACATAAGTTGTTGTATGACTTAAAAGCTAAGTTTAAAGCACACATTTTATAAAGATTCACAGTGATACAGCTCAGGAAACTCATTTCCAAGTTGCAGTCAAGAAACTTCTCACTCAAGATCAATCATAGAATCACAGCACAGTCTGGGTTGGAAA